AATCACCTAAAAAAAATGTAAAACATAATTATTAAAATCGACCTGTTCCCACCTAAATCTTCAGAAAAAAACGTAAAAATAATTATTAAAATTGACCCATTCCCACTCAAATCGCCTAAAAAAAATGTAAAAAATAATTATTAAAATCAATCTATTTCCACCTAAATCACCTGAAAAAAATGTAAAGATAATAATAAAAATCGACCCATTTTTCAAATCACCAGAAAAATAACGTAAAGATAATAATAAAGATCAACCTATTTTCATTCCAAATCGTTTAAAAATTCATCATTCACTATCGTCTATTATAGGATCATCTTCACTTTCTTTAGCAATGGATAAAACCCCCCTTTCAACTTCAGTATATTTCTCAGTTTCTATTACATATTCTTCTACAGTTATAATTCCTACTTTGATCTCTATCATAGACCGCATCAGATTGTGTTTTATATAACTATTTTAGAGAATTATAGGGATGTGACTGGTCATAATGCTGCACATTATCATTGTATTTTCTCTTTCGTTGAATTTGAGACCTTAATGTTAAGTGTTTGTTTAATTGTCTCCATTCGTTTCATAGTGGTACCTAAGGTAATTGTAAGCTCGTCAAGTTTTTGGATAAGTTGTAAGAAACTTGCTTTAATGAAGTCTTTAAAGTCACTATCAGATACTTTTTCATGCATAAAGCCCCCTGCTTTCATTCTTGCAGAGATATTATGTGATTGTTGATGATGTTAAAAAGTTGATTATTCTGTTGTTCCATATTTGGGAGAATGTTGTCACTCCAGTCTGGTGATAAGGTAAATGATGATTATACTGGAGGACTATCATTTGTGTTTTTAATCGAGGGACACAGGTATGTAAGTATGCGAGCCTGTTTAGGTAGAATCTATGTACCTTCTGTAACGATGTGAGCAAACGTGATGTTGGGATTGATAGCACCTTTACGAAGGTGAGTTAAAGCTTTATAATTGTTGTATTGAGTTAGTTGAAATGTTGATACAGATGTTGTGTGCTTTTATCTTGTGTGGCACGACATTTTTTGGAACAGTCTTTGATTTTGTAATGTGAAAAGAAGCAAATCGCACATAATTTGACTTGGGTTTCAGTCTATTCTACATGTTTACCATTAATGGTGAGGTTGTCATTACTGATTGCAACTTCGTAGTCTTCAGCTGAATGAAAGTAAAAGAATGCATGTTGTAGGTTATGATAATTTGATTGTACTTTAGGAATAATCCAGGCCATTGCATTAACCATTAGACCTAGGTCAGATAAATCTTCACCCGTAATATAATGGGGAGACACATGAGTTTAACTAAGAATTTTAACCATTTTAAGATTCTGTTACGTGGCAAGTCACACATGTGAAACTAAACCATGTCATTTATGAAAAAGACACCAAAACCTTTCTTGAGTTCGACAAAGTTTGCATCTTGGTCATATGTAATAGTAGCTTGTTGCTAAAGGTTTTTTATTTTCATGTTAAATCTGGCGATTTTGCCAAATTGAGAGAAGATCTTTTTGATGCGTAATTCTGTGGCGTCCAATGGAATTTCTGTAACTTTGATCGATTTTTGTGAAACAAATAGATGTTTTAGTGTAATTTCTAGAGGTAAGAACATGTGGTTTCTAAATTGAATAAAGTAACTTAATAGAACGCGTCCCTTTCGTTCTTATCAAAAAATGTCGCTTTTAATATTTTCTTTGATTAGTCCACTAGATGTTTGACAAACACGATATCCAAAAAGGAGTCAAACTGATTGAAAACAAAGTCAGTGATATCAGAGATTTTGGTTTGGAGAGATTTTCCAGTGTAGTCGTCTGCCAGGAAGAATGCAAAAAATTTGTTTTTTTGGTGGAAATTTCTTGAGGGTTTCTAGTTTTTATTAAGAATTTTCTGAAGCATCGGTGACATTATCGACATTCATATGTGGTTGGTCAGGAATAATAACAGAAGTTGTTTCACCTGTTGGAACTTCTTTGCCCTTTCCTTTATCGAGCGAAAGAGGGTCAACTTCTATAGTAACTGGAGTTTCTTTGTTTTTGTTGTTGTTGAAAACACTACTTTCTGGTTCAGTAGTTTATAAAGTGTTTTGTCTTTTACTTGTTTGTTGCTCTGGAATGCCAGGGCGAGAGCGAGGTTGTTGTTTTTGTTAATTTTTATTGTTCTCTTTCTTTGGTCTGCCCATGTTGTAGAAAGAGTTTTTTTTTTTTTAAAAAAAAAAATTTATCGTTTAAAAAATAAAAAATATAAAAAACAAAAAAAAGCTATTTTTAGACGATCAGATATAATGTAAATAGTTCACATGATTGGAACATTTACAAGAATACATAAACAAGCAAAAAGTATAAAGCAAAAGTTGCAACGAACAGGTGGGAGGGGGAGAATTATCTTTTTTTGCATACATTTTATGAAATTCAAAGTGAACTTTACTCTTAATAAAAGTTATTAAATTTATCATTAATTATT